TCCTCATTATCCACAAGAGACGCACTGGTGAGGGAGAATGGCGACAGCTGTTCCTGGAGGAGGTCACATTCATCATCCTCGACATTTCCGTATTCTGACAGCTTGAAGAGTTTTCTTATGCAGATGTGCTTCAGGCCACAAATAAATTGTGCTACATTGGGGTTGGTGTTGCAACCCTGTTTTTGCCTAATGTGGCCAAATATGTTCTCCAGAGGATCCTGTTGAAGCCTGCGTGTTAACAGGTATTCAAAATTGTAATTTTGGAGAGGTCGTCCCATAGTTGACAAATTGCCTGAATTGTAATTTGCCAACCTACGATGGTTTGTGGTTGACGTCTGCCAACAAACTGCCATGATGCAATCCAGGGAAGCTGGCCTCGGAGGAAGTCAATCAGCTCTGAATCATTTTTCATGATTGCATGCCGCAGCTTTTGCGAAGTTCTTTTTTACTCGAGCTGTTCAAGGCATCGAAAATCCTGTCCATACGATCACAAAATTGAGCTGTAGTGATGGCCGAGGCAGGCAGCACCTTCGCATACACCATTGCCGTGATAGCAATCGAAACTGATGCACTGAAGACCTGAGTTGCTCTGCTGACCTTCATATTAGAAAAAGGTTTCTGATGAACGTGCCGTTCAGTCAACTTTGGAGCCAATCGCAACCGCAACTCATGTGAGGATTGGTAAAGGCTTACAATGTGCGACCAGTTAACGATGTCATCCCCAATGTATAACTTGTGTGCTTGGACATTATTGCGCGTTGTTTTAATTAAATGCGGAACATCAAAAATGTAATATACCCGCTCACCATTAACTTCAAAAAAAGGCTTTGCTACAGTCACTTTTAGTTGGTTAGCGAGACTTACATTTGAACTGCCCTGGTCACAAATGACTGCTTTCACTGCAATATTAATGCTCCTAAGCTCCAAAATGAGTGACACCAGCAAGTTATGCATAACAGATGATGGTGTTGATGTGTGCCCTATAGTAAAAGCAACCGGTTGAACCCACTTTCTCGAAACACCAACAAGAAGAAAAACCAGTGCTCGATCAGCGATGGTTGAAGTGCGATGAGTGCCATCATCTGTAAAACCCTGGACAACGTCTCTTGAAGCATCATAGTACAAATTCTTTTTGAGTGCTATTTCGTCGAAAACTAAAGCGCACACTCGGTCCCGTTCATTCCAAGCTTGAGTATTGTTGCAATGGAAGAAAGGATTCCTGGAATTATGCCTGGAGTCATCTTTACATTAGCTAGCCACCTCCTTAATGAACGCCGGGAGGGCAAAGAAAAATACGGAGCCAGAAATCGGTATGCTCGCGGACCTCGGAAGTTTAAGTGAAGAGCGAATTTCTTGAACCACACGGGAAACCGCTTGCCCTTGCATTTGGGCCTCAAGCGAACATGTGCAGAAAGAAGTTTAAAAACCTCCTCGGTGACGTGCGGTCGGATAACTTCAAGGGCCTTCGTAGTCGATGACGGTGCTTGGTGAGGCTGTCTCTGCAGTTTTTTCCGCTGTGCTGCTACTTTGGCTTGCAGATGTTTAATGGTTTGCTTGTACTTCATTGATGGAGACATTGTCGCTGGCACACAGGAACGCACTGCAATAAACAAAAAAATTGATGTAAAAGCGAAGAACAACTAATCCCATACGAGCACTTTCCTCGCTCTTTCAGACCCAAGGTCTGAAACTTTCTGTGGTACAAAGTTTTCGATTCCACTACCTAAAAACAAACCATTCACAATGTTGACAATGCACAAAAAAAATGAAAATCACTGAGAGCCCACCCTTACATTTTGTAAGTGCACACGTAGTGTCCTTTTGAGGATAGTTTCCTCAGAATGTCCTAAACATAAAATAGCACATTAAAAACTGCTGCAATAAAAGCATAGTCACCATTTTCTCTAAGGCACTCAGGCGTGGAGCTGTTGGCGGAGACGTCTTCTGGAGGGTCTTGTGAAGCTTGTTCAGTGCCTCGGACAATGCTGTCGGAACAATCTTGCGAGCGGCCTGCGGAAGTCTCTATATCAATCCACTCTGGTGTTGAAGTGAACATACAACTTACCGGCCACACAAGTTCCTTTTGTGACAGCTGAACGACTGGTTAAGGTTTTCTCCGGCAAGACGAAATCATCAGAAATTCTTTCACCAGCTACAAGGGAGCTGCCACCTGCAGAGGTTTGGTCAACAGTCAATTTGGGTAAAAAAAAAAGAAATCGCGACACTGAACGCACCCTGTTCATCGGGGCACCTCAATGTGTGGGAGCCGCTTTCTGAAGCCTCTACCGCAGGTCCTGAAGAGATGAAATTACGACAATGTGTCAGTAAGAGGCTTATAATAACACAAACTGAAGCTCATCCGCACCTTGCAGTGCAGCTTCTGCAGCCATGTCACAGTCACTACTTGAAGCGACGCTCAGAGAACCTGCATATATGTGCAGTTGGTACAAGTTACAAAGCTTGTAGCATGGGGAAGCTTAAACAGCTCTTTCAAACGCATAAATTGGTCGAACGTGGAAGAAAAGAGACGGCACCAACTAGGAAACAAGTAATTTGTGATTTTTGGAATTATCAACAGTGGCAGCTTTCACTGATGAAAGGTATACGTACATGTGCACTCAGGCTTGAAGATAACGTGAAATAGCCCTTTAAAGTCTTTCAAAACAAGTTGCGCAGGTCCAGAGCATCAAAAAATGACAGAAATGTAAAGCTGCTGTTAGGAAGGTAATAGCCCACAATTCACAGAACTTAAGACTTTCCAAGTGTTACTTCTGTAGTGAGGTTTCTCTATCGGCTACAGAGATCTTCACGGTTAACTGTCGCCACTGATTCAATACAAGTGGCTGCTATTGCACATATTTGAGTTTCAGTCAATCACTTACATGGTGCAGCTGGTTGCACACTGGGAACAGCCATTCTTGTAAGCCTTGTGTGCCCAGGGTCCATGAAACTTTGAGCAGTAAAATGGTCGCTACAAACCCTGTACGTTGCGTACAATAGGCTGGCCGGCTTACTCAGGAGATCATCGCGTCCAGCATACTGCATCCATGCTTTCATCCTGCATTGGCAATGAACTATCAGCTGAAAGGGGAAGTGCTTGAATAGTGATTTTTTATTGTTACCCTCACTTAGCAAGTACGAACAGTAAGCCTACAGACATGCAAACCATACAAAAGCTTTAACACACCTGCCGTCCCGTGGTACGCGGAAGAAACTCGTCCCAGGCTTCTTGTGGGTTCTGCCATTGTTGAAGCACCACGATACACAGCAGTAGCTGCCGTAGCTTGGACCGCCGGACGGCATGGCGTCAGCGCGGTCTGAAAATGTTAGTAAGTGGATGCTTCGCTGTCAAATTACAAAAAAGATATGTGCACGTCATAAGTGTACCAGCAAACCCCTTTGAATGATTAGCTAATCGATGCACAATACAAAACCAGTGATACATCTCTGACCCATAAAACTCTGACTTACAAAGATATACGTCAAGACCACGAACAAAGATCTTCAGAAGTTTCCAGGCCGCTATCCCTTGTAATGCAATGGTATCGCGGCCTGGGAACATTAGAACACCTTCGTGCGTACGCAGTATCAGCAGTACATTGGGAAGAAAAATCGTAGTTGAAATTTGTGCGGTAAAATTATATTGGAAACGTCAAAAAAATTTGTGGGCAGCTTGCACTAGTGGCACAAGGCTAGCGAAGAAACGAAGATGATGGCCACTTGGCTAGTCCAGATTTGCCTCCGGCACACCAAGAATTATTCGTGTTCCGAGCCTTCGGGAAATGCGTCGTGAAGCATGCGAGGCCCAACAAACGCTTCTCAATATTTTGCACCGAGCCTACGACCTAGCTGCCCAGCTATGCTCAGCGCACAGACGCTCGCGTCCGTGGCAGACGCAGCACGCGTCGCCTCGGCTTGACGCCGTGCCGCCTTTTCTATACTGCATACGTTGCACAATGTTCCCGTCTAACCGCCGCATAGAGCCACAAACTTTCTTTTTAGCAAACCTCCCCGTCCTTACAAGCTTCAGAAAAAGGTTACAACTGTGTGAATGAGACGCCACGTAAGAAACAAACTCGCACACACGAAGCGCAACGTGTGTGTGTGCATCTTTCTATGTTTGTTGCATGGTGTCTTTTTCGCGCAGGCGTAACCGTTTTCTGAAAAAATGACCCAACAAGACCAACAACATGTCATTCAACAAGCTTCGCTTGAAAACGTGCCTCACCTGTTATCTCACGCTTGAAAACGCCGACGCAGCCGACGTTGACGAAAGCGACGAAAGCGTCTCGCTGTCAGTCATGCATGGGCTTGTCGCTGGATAGATGGTGTTTATGACAGTACGGCTGAAGAAAAATAATCGCGTAAGGTGTGTTGAATAAATCGTTTTATGTATAAAGAACATACCAAATTTGGGCGTGTAATTATTAATTTGTGAAAACAATTCTGTTGCATTGATTATAACTGTGTTTTTTTTTTGCGCTTGCGCCCTCTGACGTGTGGTGGGAGCACTAGTTCGTTACGTAGTCGTGACGCACTTCCTAAGGCCAGGTTTCGCGGAGTGTCCGCTCTTGTCTTCTTCTTTCTCTATGGCCGCCTTCAAGATTGGACGACTACAGCGCCGCCGCTTCGTTCGCCAGCGGCGGCGTCAACCGGTCCTATGGGTCGCTCTCTCCGCCCGCTTCACTGCCCTCTCTAGTACACTGTAATAGAGTTTCATATAATAATACCTTGTATAAAACTCTATGCCATGAAGGAAGAAAAAATTTCTCCATGGGAACACACCCTATATTTACTATTTGTAAAGCATTGACAAAAACGACCTTAGGTTTGTTTTTGATATTAACTCAATTATTAAAATAATTAAAAATAAAAATAAATCAAAACAAAATAACTATTACACGTGTTTGCGTTATAAAACCGAAAAAAAATGTTTGAAGTTGCGCATTTTATTATATAGCAGCGTCATCTATGTGCCTGAACACAAAGTGAGGTGTTTGGGAAGTCTAGGCCACATCAGGCATCCGCCGAAGCAGCTTTCGGTGCCACGTAACACCAAAGGGAGAAGACGTACGGTTTTTGACGTTTCTAAGTTGTTTGTCTAAAGCCGCGTCCAAGATGCCTCTCAAGTTAGACGTCAAGAGAAAGCTTTTGGCTAGGTCTGATCGCGTAAAATGCGTCGACCTGCACCCAACCGAGCCATGGATGCTAGCCAGCCTCTACAACGGTAATGTTCATGTTTGGAACTGCGAAAGCCAGCAGCTTGTCAAAACTTTTGAAGTCTGTGACCTACCAGTTAGAGCTGCGAAGTTTGTTCCTCGAAAAAACTGGGCCATCACTGGCTCTGATGATATGCAAGTACGAGTGTTCAACTACAATACTTTGGAACGGGTGCACATGTTCGAGGCTCATTCCGACTACATCCGTTCCATCGTCGTCCACCCAACCCAGCCCTTCATTCTAACGTCTAGTGACGATATGCTAATTAAGCTTTGGAACTGGGAGAAACAATGGGCGTGCACTCAGGTGTTCGAAGGTCACACCCATTACGTCATGCAAATTGTCATCAACCCGAAGGATAACAACACTTTTGCAAGCGCATCTTTGGACCGAACAGTCAAAGTGTGGCAGCTCGGCTCCGTGACGCCCAATTTCACCCTCGAAGGGCACGAAAAAGGCGTGAACTGCGTGGACTACTACCGCGGAGGTGACAAACCGTACCTCATCTCGGGGGCCGACGACCGCCTTGTCAAGATCTGGGACTACCAGAATAAGACATGTGTGCAAACTCTCGAGGGTCATGCACAGAATATCACCGCTGTGTGCTTTCACCCTGAACTTCCCATCATTATGTCCGGCTCTGAAGATGGAACAGTGCGCATTTGGCATGCCAACACCTACCGGCTTGAGAGCACACTCAACTACGGCTTGGAGCGTGTGTGGACCATCTGCTCTCTTCAAGGCTCGAACAATATGTCACTGGGTTATGACGAAGGAAGCATCATCATCAAGCTGGGACGGGAAGAGCCTGCCATGTCCATGGACAATTCGGGCAAGATAATTTGGGCTAAGCACTCAGAGATTCAGCAGGCTAACCTGAAAGCCATGGCAGACACAGAGATCAAGGATGGAGAAAGACTACCCTTACAGGTCAAGGACATGGGCAGCTGTGAGATTTACCCGCAGACCATCTCACACAACCCGAATGGCCGCTTTGTTGTTGTGTGCGGTGATGGCGAATACATAATCTATACAGCTATGGCACTGCGCAACAAAAGTTTTGGATCTGCCCAAGAGTTTGTCTGGGCACTAGACTCTTCTGAATATGCTGTGAGAGAGAATGGATCCACTGTAAAAATTTTCAAGAACTTCAAGGAACGCAAAGCCTTCAAGCCAGAGTTTGGTGCAGAGGGCATTTTCGGTGGCTTTATGTTGGGTGTCAAATCAGTAAGTGGACTTGCATTCTATGACTGGGAGTCATTAGAACTTGTTCGTCGCATTGACATTCAACCAAAGCATGTGTACTGGTCTGAGAACGGTGAGCTTGTAAGTATTGCCACTGAAGATTCCTTCTATGTTTTAAAGTATGACCAGGACGCTGTTACCAAGGCCCATGAAGCAAAAGAAGGAGTAACAGAAGATGGTATTGAAGAAGCCTTTGATGTTCTTGGTGAAGTACAAGAATCTGTGAAGACAGGTCTGTGGGTAGGCGACTGCTTCATCTACACAAACAGTGTGAACCGGCTCAACTATTATGTAGGTGGTGAGATAGTTACTATAGCCCACCTGGACCGCACAATGTATGTGCTTGGTTATATAGCAAAAGAAAGTCGCCTTTTCTTAGGTGACAAGGAGCTCAATGTGGTTTCCTACTCTTTGCTGTTGTCTGTCCTGGAGTACCAAACAGCAGTCATGCGTAGAGATTTCGAAACTGCTGACAAGGTCCTTCCCACAATTCCAAAGGAACAAAGGACTCGGGTAGCTCATTTTTTGGAGAAACAAGGCTTCAAGGCACAGGCACTGGCTGTTTCCACTGACCCTGAGCACAGGTTTGAGTTGTGCTTGCAGCTAGGCGATACTAAGACTGCTCACCAGCTAGCAGTAGAAGCTCAAAGTGAGCAAAAATGGAAACAGCTTGCTGAACTGGCCCTTGCACATGGTGACTTTGCTCTTGCCCAAGAATGTTTGCACAATGCCATGGATTTTGCTGGCCTGCTTCTCTTGGCTACATCTGCAAGCAACGCAGACATGATTTCAAAGCTAGCGACCAGTGCCGAGGCTGTTGGCAAGAACAATGTTGCATTCCTTGCAAAGTTCTTATTGGGCGATGCAGAAAAAGCATTTGAGGTTCTCTTGGCCACAAAACGGTATCCAGAAGCTGCCTTTTTTGCAAAATGCTATGTTCCTAGCCAAACATCACGTGCTGTGAAACTGTGGAAAGAAGAGCTTGCTAAAGTCAGTGAGAAATCTGCTCAGGCTCTGGCAGATCCTGAGGACTACGAAAACCTTTTCCCAGGGCTTCAGGATTCCATAAAGGCTGAAGAGTTTTTGAAGCAGCAGCATCTTTCTGGCAGAAAGCCTGCTACTGAATTTCCAAATATAGTGCCCCATCAAGACCGGAATCCCATAGAAGAGATGAAAGCAGCTCAAGTGGCTGGTACATTTGTGTACACTGTGCCTGCTGCTGGAGAAGCTAGTCCAGTGCAACCTGTCATGTGCCCTGGAAAGCCGCCACTGGGAAGTGCTGCTGCCAATGTAGATGTGGACGAGCAGGGCGGCCACAATGAAGAATATGTGGACTTATACCAACTGGAAAAAGAGCTGGAGCGTGATATTGAGAACTTGGCACTTGATGAAAATGTGGATTATAAACTGCAGGAAGACCTCCTCAGCGATGACTGAGCACCGCCATACACACTTCTCTGCTACTGTCCTGTGTTTGTATTAACCTTTTGGCATGGTCATGTAAATTTACTCTTCAAGTGTTATTTCAATAAATGTACTGATAATGGATATGCATTCTTAATGGAAAGGTGTATGTATTTTGCAGGCAAGGAGCTTGCTAAATGCTTGCACTATTCCACACCATGGAATGGTTGACACTGCATATTTTAATGGTGTATCTTCTGAAACTGTGTTGGTAAATATTACAACTTATTTGCCTCATTAGCGGCTGTTGTGCATGTATTGAACATTTCTGTATTCTGATGCCATGTTGCAGGTACTCTCTCTCCCTTCCCCCTTTACTAACATGTCACAGGCCTATTGCTCATGCTAATTTTGACCGCAAAACAAAGAAATGTAAACCACTGAAACCGAGCTCAAGGATCCATGCAGTAACTATGCATTACCTTCTTTCCTCGATTATGTCAGTTATGAACACCTTTAGTGCAAGGGTGCTTCGTTGGGCTACATGGTTTATATATGTAATGGCACAGATGGGGCAGGTAAAAGCATAGACAAGGTGTTGCTTGTACTTTCTTTCACCTGTGCTATTGCTTGCACTGTCTGTTGTAACCATACATCTGTTTGCTACTTATTCTGCAATCCTAAAAATAGTTCCCAGAAGGTACCAGTTTTGGGCTTGAATTGTTTTTTTTCTTCCAAGTTGCATTTTGTCTGACCGAGTGGTTCAATGTTTGTTTTCTTTTGTGCTATAATATATCAGTACTAAGTTGTCAATGAGCTAAGAACTTTAGAAACTCAAGAGAATGTACAATAGACGGCGCAAACCATTAAAGAATAGGTGAAAGAAAAGAGCGTCGCTAACTAGCCCAAGTTAGGAGAGAATGTAAGAATCTTCGCTCTGCTAATATTTTCAGTACCCTCTTTTGAAGGACATTTGAAAAGCCTTCGCATTGAGGCTGTATGTATATTCATACAAATGTTCATATTTATCAGCAGTATTCAGCTATGCACTTAATCTACCTACCTGTATGTACAGGCAATGTCATTTTTGTGTCGTCTTTTGAAGGGGCAATGGTGAAAAGCTAAAGTTAATAGTGGGCTAAAAGCTTCCATTACTTTGAGACTAACTGTACGCTGTTGCTACTCGCAGTCCTAGCCTGGTGGCCATACGTTTTGCTTCCAGACATGAAGTTCAATTTCCAGCATCTGTGGCTGCATTGTGTTTGGGGCAAAATGCTCGTCTGGTGCCAAACTTCGGGTGTGCATTCAAGGAACCAGGCCTGGTTTAAGTTTCTGGAGTCCATGCCATAGAAAGACTGGCTTTGGGGGGGAGAGGACATGACATACTGCAATTTAGTTTTATCACTACTTAGAATGTAGAATACTAGAATTTCCTACACCAAATCTAGGGTACCGCATTTATAACGTAGTACTGTTCCATAGTTTTTTTTTGGTTTTTTTTCTCCGTGGGTTGGAAGCAAAAACAGTAGGTTATGTTACAGTAATTTAAATGTATGTGTAGTACTCATGGATTCTTTTGAGTAACTACTGGCATGGGCAGTACCAGGGGTGGGCACGGGGAGAGGGGGGCTGGAGCTCTCCCAAAATTTTTGCCTGCCCCCCCCCCCCCACCCCAAAAAACAAAGGGAAAATAGTCATAACACAGTGGCCAAGTTCCCCAGCTCCCTGCCCCGTCTGAAGGAACTCTCTTATAGTGGCCGCCTCCCATACAAAATAATCCTGGCACCACCCCCCACTACTAGTATACGAAATCGCTTGAGATAACCACTTTGTCACAATGAATCTTGCCTCAGGAGACAATGAAAGGTCTCAACTGTACCTTAGAGTTGAAATTATGTGTTCGAACTGAAGGTGGCAGGAATGAAAGAATGTGCTGTCCTTGATCCTTAACTGTCCCGTTTCAATATGCAAGAATTGCAGGAATGTTACTGTAGCTTACATGTGCCATGAAGACTAAAATGGATTACATGAGATACAAATCTAGCACAATGTGTATACAACACAGCATTTTAAAGGGAGATATTCGGCAGATATGTGCATGGTTGGAGGCAAGAGATGCGATATAAAAAAAAATATCTGTTAATCTGTAGCCTAGGGCAATGAAATTTTTTACTGTATATATATATATATATATATATATATATATATATATATATACAGGTACTGATGATTTTAAATATGTAATTAGTTTTATAGTAAGTTGCACAGTTATTACTTTGTGCTGTGATAATGTGTGAAGTATAGTTTGTTTTGGACAAGCTTTTTACACCACTAAACCTTAATAGTTCTGAGCCATTAATTGCTCTGCATTAATTGTAGAATACAAATAGCTATCAAGAAAGTGTTCAAAAGACATTTTGATGGACAAGAAAAATTGTGATGTGATTAGCCCACATTAATAGCTTGCTTTTGGTTCATAGTAATTATACTGGTAATATCAAATTTTAAGAGAGATAATTGCACCTTTCCTATGTTAAAGAATATGTGGACAAAATTTTATCCTGATCTTGCTATCAGAAGTATTAATAATGAATGATAAGAAAAACACATTTTAAAGGTACAGGTCAAAGCTCATCTATGAAGCAAAGATATGTGCATCAAGGCTATGTCCAAGCTCACCTAGCCGGTACCACACGGTGCATTGTGAAATGCAACAGGGCTCAGGAAGGGAGTTCGAGGACGAGCAAGCATCTACAATTCGGCCTTTTCGGTCATCACACCCTGCCCGTGTGCTCAGATTTAGGTGCACGTTAAAGAACCCCAGGTGGTCGAAATTTCCGGAGCCCTCCACTACGGCGTCTCTCATCATTGTCATAATCATCATTGTCATAATCATATGGTGGTTTTGGGACGTTAAACCCCACATATCATCATCGAAGCAAAGATAAGTTCTTCAGAACAATTACTGCATCATTAGAGCTCGGGAACCTATTTCGAGCATGCGGCTTTAGTGAACTCATGTGAAACACAAAGCTAAGACAGGTGACAATTTCCAGAAGACTCTAGCCAATGAGCTCTTTTTTTTAGTGTTTAATAGCAACTTTGTGCTCTCTAAAAGCGATTTTAACCTACTTCAACTTTAATGACAATATTCAGTTTTTTTGTGTGTATGTAGTAGAGAAACTAAACTTGTGAAAGCAAATGAACAAAATATACGTAATTTTGCCAAAAATATGCCTTTAACTGCTCGCATCTCCCGTTAAAGGGAACGTAATGCGAGCCATCTGTGTACACTAGCCCAAAGTACCTTCTAAGGCTAATATGGAATACTTGACTCACGAGATGCTCTGCTATGAAAAGTTTACATGTAGCAACACTGAAAAATCAATGCAAAGCTTTGCAACTGACTTCACATGAACATACAAAAATGTTGCAGATGTGTATGACAGAATGTGTGGTGCAATTCCACTTCAGCTGTTTTCAAATATTTGTCCTTTTTACAGAGATTGCAATGCTTAAAACAGTTGGCAAGGCAACATGAATAGCTGCTTGGAAATACACAAGTATGGAAGCTGTTACAAGTGTACAGGTGTCCCACTTGTATAGCTACAGATACACAGTAGTCTGCACATAACTAGCCCAATTTACCAAGTTTTAGGACAAGGAAAGCACATGGATGTTTTTAGAAAAATAATATATGACAAGCATTTACAATCTTAACTGCCATGGGCAGCCATCTTTTGTGCAGTCACTAAAACCTACACATGACCTACAATGCAAGGATTGTTTTTATATAGGTCAATTGGCAGTTTTCTATTAAAGTCTGTTAATCATGAGATAAAGGAAAATGAACAAAGTGTACATAGGAAACTCATTGCCAGTAGAGACAGAACCCACAGCCTTCGCATTAACTGTGCGATGCTCCCCCAATATAGTTACAGCAGCAGGTGCTCCCTCGCCCACCTTATTTCGGGGTAAGCATAGCAGTGCTAGCCAGTACCAGTCTTGCACCAGACAACGTCATGTAGGCATGACCTTTTACAAGCCTTATGCTGTTGAGAATGTGCCATGCACAGACGTGGACAGCAACACCTTTACACAATACTAGTCTATGCACCAATTAAAAACTGAAATTAAGCACCACACACTTTTCTCAGATTCACAGGGTTGGGTCAAAGAAAAAATGGGCTTTTGGATCTCTTCCTCTTCTTTGACTAGTCAAAAAACGTATCAACCATTCAATGCAATTCATTGTCATCATTGGCCTACTCCATGTCCACTGTAAAACAAAGTAATCTCCCAATGATCTCCAATACAAGAAAAAAAAAAAAAACTTTGGTCTCATTATGTAAGGTGCACTCTCTTACTTTCAGACCGCAGTTCCAATCATAAGACAGTAGAGTTGCTCAGACAAAGCCTATAGCGAAAATACTGTACATACTCTTGCCATGGCTGCACCCAGAACCTTGTTACTTTAGCCCCCCCCCCCCCCTTTCTCCGTAATATATATATATATATATATAAAAATTGGCTTGAGCGGACAAACGTGAGAAAACTTTTATTGCTCCTACGTTTTGGCCGGGGTCCGGCCTTCGCCAGGGAATCCCTGACGAAGGCCGGACCCCCCGGCCGAAACGTAGGAGCAATAAAAGTTTTCGCACGTTTGTCCGCTCGAGCCAATTTCTATTCATCACTGGATTCACAGAAGACACTCGCTGGATATATATATATATATATATATAAAGATCACCAGTGTTTTGGCAGTGCCACTGATCTTCGAGAAGGTTAGCAGTGTTATCTGCTCTATAGTGCAAGAACTCCGAAGCATTTTTTTTTCTAAGACACCAGAGTGGCTGGTCAGAAGTTCGAAGACTGCTCCCAAGAAAATGCACTCAGAAAAACAAAGAGGTGCTTTTTAGGAAACTATAACACAGCATGCTACCAGAGATGGAATATTTACTTCCTCAGTATGTCACAAAGATGCGGAGCAACATCCATGCCGTTTCGTCGGAGATTCTACAAGTGAAAGTGCCTGGCATCACACGAGACAAAGACATTTAGTTTAGAGTTTAAAGCCAGCACTGGCTGGCACTTGATGAAGGAAAAGAAGCCTGCTCTCTAATGTTACGACGACATGCCAATGTCTGCATTGAAGTAAAAAAAAAAAGCTGTTTCTCTTTTTTTTTTCTGTTCTGCCAGTAGAAGTGAGTACTTCAGTTCAATAGAGGCAAGTACAGCAGATATTTACCAAAAATAAATGTTGTGGCCCTCTCTCCTTGTAATGGCCGCACCAGTGATTTCTACCTCAATCCTAGGAAAAAACCGTTGTCATTGCACAAGCGCGTACAGTAGTTATTACAAGTGAATAGTACACACTTCATGGATACCCAGACTAGTGAAGATGGAAACCGACCTTAAAAATAAGGTTAATGTCAGCTATTTGGGCTAGAGAAAAAAATGTGACACAAACACAAAAACTAAATTTGAATCACTTCCACATTTTAATTTGCACCAAATTTTACTCTAATACAAGTAATGCTTTCATGGTAAGCAAACATTTAAAGCAAACATTCAAAGAAATACCCAACAAACTTAACAAAATGCTTGCAGCTTGCATGGACACCTGGAAAATATCCAATTGCCAAGGAAGGCATTCCAGCAGGCTGAATTTACACCTGCAATAGTGTTATCATTCTGAAGCTCACGAAATAACAATAATGTACTGTGCTATTGAGCATGACCCGATAACAAAATTGGAAACAATATAGCTTGATCAGTTGGTCATTAGTTATTGGAATGCAGAGGTGTTTAAACGCTCCCTCCACATGGAAACATAACAGAAATTTAACAACCACTAGCCAAGAAGCTCTATAAAACTGCAGTTTATTTTCAAACACACCCACAAATGTAAAGAGGCAAAGCAAAAGGATAGCGTCTTTAAAGATGTACATTAGATAATAAACAATGCAAGCAAAAAACAAGCCATGTACTGAGGAAACAAAGAAACATTTCCTTAATCCATTTCAACCAGTAAAAAAAAAAAACAAAGAGAAACTAACAGAGGGATTTTCATACAACAGAATGCCCGAAATACAATTTGTTATCTTGCAAGAAGTGACTATTCTCAATTTTTCTCTGAACCAATTTTTCTTTATGCTTTTATTGTGGGATGACCGAACTGCCTCGTAGCAGGCACTGTAGCTGCTCAAAAATGGGTGGCTCACACCTTGACTTCTTTCTTTTTCTCTTCAGGTTTCTTCTCCTTCGGCTCATCCTTTTTCGCCGTCTCCTTTTTCTCTGCATCACGGTTAGTGATCTTGTTGTTGATGAGGTTATGCAAGGCCACAACAGAACGCACCAAAGATGCCAGGTACACAACTAACATCTGGTCATTTGTCTTGATATAGAGAGATTTGACAAAGTCCTGGAGACCCACATCAGGCAGTAAGTTGAATATGTCCTGAAGCTGGTAGATGATGGTGTGGTTGACTGGCAGGGTACCCATAGCCACCTGCATTCAGAGCAATGCTTGTACATCAATCTCTATTCTCCATGTTCATAAAACAAAAGAAATAGTAATATACAGAAATGGGTGATCAAACAGTCTTCTTGAATGCACGCGCTACTCACTTGCTCCAGATAATCTCTTATGTGGTGCACCTGGCCTTGAAGTCCTTTCAAGCCCATCAGCTGGTTGGTTATCCTCTGTGAGAGTGTGCCCAAAGTAGTGTCCTTGATGTCCCTGCATGACAACACACCAGTAAAGCACGGAAAACATGAGAAACAATGTACAACAAACAATACTCGGCTCACCGAAGTAAATGCTCAACTCCAACCTCCTCAGCTTCCTCTGCTCCGATTTCACTAGGGACATGCTCAAACGTCTTGGTAGTTGGGGTGCCATCCTGAGAACAGAGAACATGAAAAGTAAGCTTTTGTGGCCTGCCCACACAAAAACGGACTTTTCCAACTAAAAATACTCACATCGTGAACTTCCTCCACAGCTATGTATGCTTCTGTGGGTAGACCGATAGAGAGCAGCTGAGCATCAATGATGACAAGCACCTAACAAGGAAAAAACAAAGCTATAATAGAGCCTCAGAGCCGACAAACACCAGCAGCAGCAGCAGTCTACTTCATGTGCACAGCAACACAAAGACCTGTCCAAATGATATTCGTGTTACGCTGTCTAGCATAAGTCGATTACATTTTGTGCCTACTAACTTCTTACTTGCATCAGTCAATCATATACTTTCTGCTGTAGTTAGCTGCATCTCTTGTCCCTTTGTCCATTCCATTGCTTTTACTAACTATATGGCAACTCTCCTGTATAAACTACATAAGCTCCTCTGGTGCATTTGTCTTTTCTTTTTCTGTGGCTACTCATCCACTCCCTTTCTCTTATTTACTATGTTATGCATATAATTTTCCTTGGCACTGCACACAAAGTGGACCTTCTATTCTTGAACTTCTATGTCATCCCTTAATTTTCTTCCCTGTACTGGTAGAATGCAATAGCTGGACACTTTCCATTTGATGGACTGTGGTAAGTTGTCATGATTTTGGAATGTTTGCTGTAAGTGCTCAAGCTCGCCCCCCCCCCCCCCCTTTTTTTGCTATTTTCCTTTGCATGAGAAAGCTCCCCTGTTAATGAATGGCTTTAGTTAAGTATTGCACAGATTTTAATATTCAATTGCTAATTGTAAACTCTCAATCTGTCACTGGGCAAGCGAATATTATAGTAGTCTTTTGCGAATTTATCTTCAGCCCTACTTTAACACTTTTTCGATTCAAGCTACCTTGAGCCCTACTTTTAAACTTTCTCGATTAAGTGCACAATCATTTTTTTTTTTTTTCAATTCACCGCCATCGTTGATGAAATACACGATGTCTGAAACTAAAACGAAGAAGAATTCAGCATTTATTTTTATTCCAATTTGTTTTTAACATATTTATTTAAAGGGTCAGTAAACAACCCCCTTTTGCATTTCCGGTGGATTTCCGATGCATTTCCGACGGAGGCGGAAATGTAGGCCCGTGTGCTCAGATTTGGGTGCACGTTAAAGAACCACAGGTGGTCAAAATTTCCGGAGCCCTCTACTACGGCGTCTCTCATAATCATATGGTCGTTTTGGGACGTTAAACCACACAAATCAAACTTTTTTAGCAGTTTATTTAATGACGCGAGACGAGAATTCGTGCTCCTGCTTCTCATACATGTTCTTTTGCCACTCTAGCCGTGAAACGCATCATATGGCCGGTTGCAGAAACGCTAATTTACGAGGCATTCATTGTCTCAAAACACTCATAAACGCTCGTGGCGTTACCAAACACGGCTCCAAGTACGGCTAAATCACATTACTAAAGCTTATTGATAACACTCCATATGACCGTGAAGTGCGCGGCCGCAGGGACAGAGCAGCCGGCACACGATGCACTTGACAGCGGCGTTCAATGACGATGCCCGCAACGTGTAACTACGATGACAAAAATTGGAGTACACAGTGCTCGGTTGGTTGATTGCAAAAATTTATTGTGGTCCTGCAAGGCGTGCATCAGCGCACGCGCAGCGGGCGACACCTAAGTTGGGACTGCCAGGCCAAGCCTATCGGCCGCTCCGCGAGCCTGCTGGACGACCCAAAGTTGGTCGACCAGGAGGGAGCTGCGTAGGGCCGCCTCCCACCAGACCGAAGTAATGTCTGGTTAAGTGTACATTGCCTTGCACTCCCAGAGCATGTGTCAGCGTGGCTACGTCCCCACATGCAGGACAAGCGTCATTGAGGAACACGTCGGTATAAATAACGTAAAGGGAGCTCAGTTTAAGGCATGTGTCCGTCTGCAGTAGTCTGAGCGTAAGGGCCTGTGGCCTATAAGTTTGGGATGAGGGAGTGGATATACTCTTTGTGCAAGGTAAAAATGTTTTGTTACTTCGTTGTACGTGGAACGCGTGTCCCTGTTCTCTGCAACCCCATTGTCCCCGAATCGTCGCCAGAAACCGGCGCGGTCAGTTAGCGTGCACGCAGTCTCGTGGAAAGACTCGTTGAGGTTGGGGGGAGGGCCTTGGACCTGTCCAACATGTGCGAGAAACCAGATAAGTACATGGTGCTTGATACCGTCGCAGCCGCCACTCTGGAGAACACACGGAACTTTCTTGAAGACGATACCGCGCTCGAAAGCACGGTTAGCTGACGTAGAGTCACTATAGATGACCTCACTTTTGCCGTCCCGGATGGCCACTTGCTCAGCAATCGTCGGATTGTCAGGGAGAACCGATGCGCAGTTGGTGATCTGCTGTTTGGAGTTGACGACGACTGCGGAGAAGGCGCGGCTCCCGCGGTACCCTGCCACGTCGACAAAGCTGACGCCGCGCTCCTCACTGTAATCTGCTTGAGAAGAGTAGCAGCTCTAGCTTGTCACCTGCCACGATTGTGCTTGGGATAGACATTCCTAGGCATCGATGCCACGGTGATGAGATCGAATATCTCACAGGGCACCTGTTTCATTTTCTCGTCCACTTCGGCAGGAGAGTGACCGAGGTCTCCGAGTATCAACTCCATTTGAATCCTTGGAATGACCATCGAGTCCAATAGTTCGAACGGCAAGACTATACTCAAGCTCGCCACCAAAACTGATAACGCGGTTCAGCTGGTCCGACGGGTGGCCAAGCGCCACCAAGGCCTCAAGGAAGACAACCTAATTCGCCAGGCCAATGCCTTGCTCTGCCACTTTCAATGTGCACAACTGGAAGCCTGCCGAGCGCCACAAGACCAACGTCCTGCTCAGAAAGATTACCAAGCGGCCCTCAGTATTTCGATCAGGACGCGCACCGAGTGCCTGCTCCAGCTCGGAGATTGCGCTTGGTATCACATTTTCGAGTGCTGACCCGCGAAACTAGTCTGATAGCTGCTGTTTTGAGCAATCCTTGGCATCGGAGGGGGGGGGGGAGGGGGGTTGACGAACTTGGCTGTGCGGTCCGCTGTCGATGTGTAAAATGCCCGCCCACGGTTCCGAGCAACTAGCAGAGTGGTGTGCTTCATTGCTTGCGAAGAAGCACGTCGCCACGAGTGTGCTTGCGCGCCGTTCTTGCCGGTAGTCTCGCCGTTAGCGGAGTTTGGAAAGACGACTCTGGCGACACGCCGCGTGCCCGCTCCTAATAATCTGATTGTGCATTCGCTTACAGCTCCTAACTACAGCGTAATTATATCTGAACTGATTGTCGAGCTGTGAACACGTCACGAAGTAGCGATTTTCGAGAGCCGTGTCCTCGCGACCAACAAGCAGCAAACGACGATCTCCCAGAGCGAGCATAGGGCCAACGGCGAGGCGGGCCGAGGCAACACGGTGGCCGCAGCCAATCAGGGGCCTCAAAAGGACCTTCAAAGATTTGTTTTTTGTGCACTTGTTTTTAAAGAAAGGAGCCAGTTGAGGCAGAAAATTTGCTCATCGAAAAATGCTCTTTCCAATGAGCTCATGAAGCAGACTCCCGGCCGCGTCATCGCGAAGCTATAATTTTTTGAAAATCGCTGTTTTCTCACAATTTGCAAAAATATTTTTGTTACCTAGGAGGGGGAAACATTTTTTGAAGCACTTCTGCGAGATTTTACGAGTAGATATTTTGGAATCAGATAGAAAAAGGGTTCCAGAAAATTAAAATTTCATTTAAAAAAAAGATTTTTTTTTTTTTGCCATTTTTCGCGATACGAAAGCACAGTACCCCCTAAGTGGCAGTCGTAGTCGAACCAGAAGACCTTCAAGCCGAGCCGAATAATGGTCAAGACAAATGCGCACAAATTTAACGATGCGAGTAATGTTGTAGTTGGAAAGTCAGATATGCTGTGCGATATGTAGAAGCAAGAAACATCAACATAGTCTATGCACAAACATGTAAGCTAGGGAACACTTTACACAATGTGAAAGACAAGTTGCCAAGCGAAAATTTCGAGTGTCTTTTCAACTTTAGGCTGCCACGATTGTGGTGACCAGTTACATCATATGCCCTTGAATAAACTACGGGTCACCAAACTGACTGGTCAAGTGTGCATGTTCTGGCCAAAAGAATGCGTGCATCATGCCTATACCTGGAATACCAGCACATGCAGACAACTGCACATATGCTGCACAGGAGAGATGGGACGCTTCCAACAATATACTTCCGGTGCTTACGCCACCGTACTTAGGCGTACCTAAATACGCTGTGCCTTTCTTAGGGCTATTATTGTGAATAAGGCTCCCGGAGCGGGTGCCATAATGCCACTAAACTTTGTATTCTTTTGGTAGGTGTATTCTTTCATATCTTCACCAAGAAGCAATAGTTGCACAATGCTTTTTTTTTTTTTTCACACATCTTTTAGCTGTTCACTTTAATTACAGCCAAAGTAGTGGCTTTTTAAAGGAACACTAAGTCAAATAACAATTTACGTCACAGTGAAAGCTCAATGTATGACATCTAGAACGACAATATTATCAACAACAGTGCCCCACTTACCGAGAAATTAAGGTAAATGCACAAGAACACATGCGCCACAGTAGGACATTCTCAAAATGATCCCGATGACATCATACGGACCGCCTACAATAAATCACTAGTAATCAATCTAGCTGCACTAAATAACTTTCGGCCTTCCGTGAATAGAGACGCAATAAAATTCTGCCTGTTCGCTTCATGAAAAAAAAAAAAGAACTGCTGGACGTTTTTATTTATTTATTGATACTACAACTCCTTTAGAAGTTTTAGCAGGGTGGGATAGATACAATGCATGAACAAAAATACGTTCCTATGGAAAATGGTGCGAATGGTTCAAAAATTATATTTTCGCGTGGTTACACTGGAAAGGTGGTGCCATCTAGTGGGGCACATTTGTATAAAAAAATGTCTGCAATCTTGGAACTAATGGCGGGAAATTGATCAATGGCCATTGCTCCTGCTGTGGCTCCCACTCCTTTCGGGCAGCTGCTACTAGTGAAGTAAAGCCGGGCAACGTTGTGCATGGCAACAGTGACGCAAGTCGGTCTGCTTCTTGAGGCGGGTAATTTGAAGTGCGCTAACCCGATGCGGACCACTAAAA